GCTTATTGTAGCCAGTTTGAAGGACACATACATTAGTCAAATTTACAGCATCTTCTCCATTACCATTAACTCCTTCCTGGGTTCAGTGTATATAGCAACCTTACACAGTGCAGTGCTTCTCACATCCCTACATCCCCCAAACAAATTGACTTGATTTAGTTGGTTCCTTAATATTGTAATGTGAGGATACTAGCACACTGAGTATCAAATGGCTGACAATGGTATTTCACTTTTGGTCTGTCCTTTTGTTGACTCTTGTTGAAACCTCTTGCTGAAGACCAAAAAGTCATTTTCTATTCAGTTGCACTTCACTATAGTTCCTTTTCCATTCCTCAGTAATCAACACTCCCCACCTCCACCAATGTGCAGCACCCACCTGGATAATGCAATGGCAGCCACAGTGCGCCAGAATGCTCACCACACATCAGCTATCACTGGGGAGGATAACAGTGATGAAGCCAATTCATAGATGGGGATTATTAGGAGGCCATGATGGGTTAAGGCCAATGGGAAATTTGGCCAGAATGCCAGGGTAGTACCCTTTTCAGGATATTACCCTTTCCAAGAAGTGCCCTGTGTTTTTTAATGACCGCAGAGAGTCAGGACTTCAGTTTTAATTCTCTTCCAGAGGACGGTGCCCTTTTACAGTATAGTGTCTCTGGTACTATACTGGGGCATTAGGACCCACACAGACTGCAGGGTAAGTGCCCCTACTGGCCCCAGTGACACCATTTCCAGCAGCAACCTTAGTTTTTCCCAGGAGATCTCCCTTCCAGGTCTTGACCAGGCTTACATCTGCTTAGCTTCAGTGGGTTGCTATTTGTGAGATGCAAGACATGGCTGCTGGCCAATATTCACTAAAATATTGACTAAAATGTCAATTTTACACAAAGAGATATAATGCATTGGCCTCACACTCATTTTCCAGTCTTCACTTTAATAAGCCCTATAATGACTATTCTATCTCACACATCACAAAGTACTAAATCTTGAATAGCAGCTACTAAGTTTACCCATAACTACCCACTGGCTGATCCTGTTTGGCCAGGGACTGTATTCTTACAAACAAAAGTTGCACCACTGACACAGCAAGCGCCAGTTTGTGGTTCTCAATAATGACAACCCAAGGCTCCCCGTCAGTCTGCTGATATTAAAGCCAGGGATTACTCAAGGATCAACATGCTATCTGTGTAAGCAACTCGCTTTCCTGGCTCAAAGGATCATGAAAAAAACCTGGGTATAGGCTAGAGAAGAACACAAACATTGTCCAGTTTTCTGGCGAAACCAAGTGTGAAAATCTAGACTACTATTTCTCTTCAACAATTGAAGAGCACACTGCTACACTGCCTGGCAATACCCAACTCATTCAGGCACTAATGCCTCCTGTCTGCCTTTGTTCAGCTGGCCCACCCTGATTCTCTGCAGCATGCTAATACTCCATTGAGCCTGGCAAACAAATTACAGAACATCTGAAGCACCTCAGTGCAAACCTATGCTGTATTTACTAAACTATTCTACACTCACGGTGTCTCACAGGCATGTAAGCCACTTTAATCCAAAACTCTCTGCAGTACAGCTCTCACACATTCTCTCCTCACACTCAGACTAGAGTCAAGGCACAAATCGCTGCATTGGGGGTTTTAGTTTGCTGTAACAATTAGAAAACGGTAACAGTAAATTACAAAAGTACTTAATTTTTGGAAGCAGCCAAAAAGCCAATTTACAGTCTCACACACAGATTCTAAATATCCAATTTCTTGATATAACCAAAACATGCATAACAAACAATGATGTAATAGAATATAGATATGTGAAACAATTTGCTGTGAACACAAATTCTAATTGAATGAGTTTAAACTTTGTGCTGGTAAAAGGTGGCTGGGCTTCCGTAGCAGCTTCTTGGTCCTGGGAGGGTCCCAGAGTGAGAGCTTTTGCTTTGCTCTGCTTAGCAGCTTGCGTTGGCCCCATGAAACCCTGCTAAAATCATGCCCTGCTTTGGTCTTTAAGACAGTGTGCATAGTTTGTCCTCTTGAGGTTCACAAAATAGACAAAAGGTGAACTGAGCTTATTCCGTGCTATAGAGTTTTATTGAGAATATTCTGTCGACAAAAAGTCCAGCTGTCCAATTTTGTTTATCATTTGAAAATAACTGTGGGTTCGCAAACACAAGATTGCTTCTGTTTCTGAGAGAGTTCAGCAGAGTTCTATACTTAACTGACTCACACTTTCATCCTGGCTTCTTGGAGAAAAGTTTAAGTCTTGATTTGGACTGCTTACAGTCACATGATCATTAAAGAGAGAGAGAAAAAAAGAGTTTAGAGAGAGATTGAGAGATGCAGTGGTTGACCGGAGAAAAATTATTTGTGTTCCATTTTATATTGTCACGGATGTCGGTTCTGACTCCTGTGAAATGCTTTGTTAAAGACCCTATGCGAGGCGGTATAATCCGGTATAACACAGGGGGTGGTGACAGCCGTGATCTGGTGCATGGGGGGAGTGCAGGGCGAACGAGTCCAAAAGGAAGTCCAATAGGGAAAATCAGGGCGGAGTCCAAGGTCCAGGTGCCGGGAGATCCATCCAAGACGAAACACAGGGGAACTAGGAATACAGATAATTAAAACCTTGACGGGATAAGGTGTTTTGAGCCCCGGACTCAGTAGGTCAGGACACCATGATGAAGCCTATGGCCTCGGGCCACTCCTGTCATCTGTCTTCCAAAGCTGAGCCCAAAACTATGGAGACGCCGGACTTAAATAGGGAAAAGGGGATAAGACAGAGCTGGGACAAATGTACACAACACAAAGAAACACAACGAAAAATGTAGGAGCACCCTCTAGAGGAGGGATGACAACTGTAACATACTGTATGGGGTGACATATGCTATTGACTGGCCACAATGCTATTAGGTTTGGTTCTGGTACCCACCTGCAGATCCCCAATTTGTGGATCTTCCTTTGGGTGATGAATGGTGACCTTGGACCTGTGGTTTTTAGGAATGAACCAGCCTGGAGACTTGCTGGAGCCTATCTGTGCTATACATCACAACATTGTTCAGCTTGATACAGTCTACTGATATCTCTTATTAGAGGAGCTCCCTAGCCACATTCCTGTGCATTAAGAGAGAGGCACAAGCTGCTTGGTCAAGGCACAGAAACTTTGATAATGCTTAATTCTAAGAGAAATAATAGGCCTTATCCTTAAACCTGCAATCAACTGTCACAAGGAACTATACACCCTGGATGGGACACCAGTATACTGCAGGCCAACCACTGCCACTTTTTTTCCAGAAGCCAGTTAACCTACCAGTACATCTTTGGACTGTGGAGGAACTGAAGCACTCTGAGAAATCCACATCAACACAGGGAAAACAAATCAAAATCAAATCTAAGTCAGACAGAGAGTAAGATGGCTCACAGAGCACTGGATTCTTACCCTTCTTTAGTGCTCTATCAGTTTCAGCAATCCCTGTGTTTGTTGTGTATTCCAGAAGCTACATGTTTGGACTCAACCATTCATCTGTTCTTCAAAGTAAAACCAAATGGTTCCATATCATGTAATGTTTTTGTAAAATACATTTTTAAACTCAAGTGTAATGAAACTACACAACAACACATTTTAAGATAAAGTATAGGTTAAGTGTATAAAGAAAATAAAAATAAAAACAAGATTTCTGCTGGTCACACTCTTCCCTTTTTTTAATCTCTAGTTTTAGCCTTGCAGCACATATGCTAATTAAACTCCTCACTTTCCCCTCATAACAATTGCTTCAAAATACTTCCTGGTATCAAGAGATGGATGCTGCACATTGGTGGTGGTGGAGGGGAATCCCCATTACCTGTAAAGTGCTTTCAGTGGAGTGTCCAGAAAAGCGCTATATACGTAAGCAATTATTATTATTATTATTATTATTATTATTATAAGATTGAGAATTGGATTCCTAAAACAATTTACTAAAACGGACCATGTTCTTAGCTGTATCAAACCAAGGTTAGGTTTAGTCTCCATGTACAGCTGTTTTGATGTAAATTATGAAACCAGCAATTGACATATTATATATGAATCTACCTCTTCTAGTTTGGAGTTTACTTTGTTGTGTTTTAAAATATGTACATCCTTTTTGGATGTTTTCTGCATTTTTGTAATTTGTTTTAAAATCCTTTCACACTTTTTGTATTTGAGAATTTATTTGTAATTATTTCAAATGTATTTTCTGTGGTTTTGCGATTTGTTATTTTGTTTTGCATATAAGGGCATCAATACAAAATATACTATTTTCTATATTTATTGATTAGAAAGCATTTTTTTTATTTTGAACACAAATAAACTTTCATGATCCTTCTCTCTCCTGTTAGTTTGCAAAGACATTTTCAGAAATTCCATTTGCTGCAAACAAGCCTTTCAAATGAAAGTGCAAGCAAAACCAACAGAAGAGGAATGCAAAGAGATAAAATCACCAGTCAAATCATATATAATAATTGCTGTCACAATCCAGTAAGCCTTCAGCATTACAATTTATTCTTAACCCATACTCAGAATTCTGCCATTTCCCACAAAGACCTTCTTGACATTCAACATGTTTCATACTTCAAAGAATTATTAAAGCTACAAAACCCATACTATTTAACTCACACTGTCAAAGAACCTCATTAGGTCTTACAAAATAAAAATGTAAAAACACACTGTTGTAAATATGAATAATCTTTCATTAAATATGGAGGGGACCTGCACATAATTGAAAAGTTATTGATTCAGTGATTCCTTTAAGTATACCATGATATATTTTTCTCCATCTAACCATTTTCTAACCTCTTTATCCAATACAGGGTCATGGGGGAGCCCGAGCCCTACCTGGCAACAGGCGTAAGGTGTAATACACCTTGAATGGGACAATAGTCCATTACAGGCCACACACACATACTACAGGGGTACATATACTGTATTACAGGGCCATTTTTTTCTCAGAAGTCAATTAACTTACCAGCAGACTGTGAAAGGAAACTGGAGCACTTGGAGGAAACCTACATGAACATGGGAAGAACATACTATATAAACCCAAAACAAGCCCCAGCTCTGCAAGGCCGCAATGCTAACTTCTGCACCACCATACTGCCCACCCTTGATAGACTTACCAGAGTATATATGCTCTTATACATTCAATTTTGTTATGCCTTTACTGAGCTTCACTACCATGGATCAGTATAGCTGACTATAGTGAAAATGCCTTATTCATTTGTTTTTCCAGGTAAGTCAGTTGACAGTAAAATCTGATTTTTAACCTGGTAATCTGCTAAAAACTTTATATAAGGGAACAACACCAGTGCCTCACCCAGTGTTTTTTAATCAATGGCCTTCTAGTCCAGAGCCCTAACTGCTACCCCACACTGCTGCCTTATAAAACTTTACCTAAGTATGAGATGGAATTTCTATGGTAATGCTTAATAGTGAAAACTTGATTAAATTGTAGAAAACTACAATATATAGAAATGCTAGAAACAAGGTAAAAAAGGTAAATTTTCATAAAAGATATAAACACTTTGTTTAAATAACAAACACAACTATGATAGAAACAACATTGTTTTTTAGAATATTTCAGTCTAATATGGCAACAGAAAACCAGTGGGTGCAGAAACTTCAATAAACATAGGCTAAGGTGTTGGTGTTTATTGTGATGGGCTAGAGAGAAATAAAACAGAAATAAGAATTTTAAAGGCACTTATCGGCAGCTATGTACAGAGACTTTGTTTGGAGAATAATCTGAACTGGAATGTGACCCTATTCCAGCAATGACCTTGATTTTGGCATTGGCTATCTTGTTTGCATTGTACTTATTTATGCTATTAAGCAGCCTGACTGTACTCTTTTTTTTGGTTTGTTTGCCTTAGAACTCTGGACTTTTGTTTTCATTTACATTGTGAAGCCTGCCTTTAAAACATGAGACAGGCTCCTGTGTCTCACTGTCTACATAAAAGCATCAGGATGCCATTAGAACTGCAGGGAATTTATTACAGCGTGTGGGGTCACCCTACTCCAATCACTGCAAAAGTCATTAAATGCTACTTTATTTTCTGGGGAAGGGGGAACTACAGGAGAAGTGGAAATAAGCAGACCTCCTGATTTTATGTTGTAAATCCAATCCACACTCATTATTCAAACCAGCAGTCTTTAATGGTGCTCAGGGTGTCTGGATGCAGCTATGGACTGGCAGCAGGTCACTGATAGAGGTCATCCTCCCCTTCATCTCTGTAGAGGTTTCCTGGGTCATTGTCTGCCTGTCCCGAGCCTCGTCCTCCACCAGACTTGGATCCAGAAGGAAATCTGACAGATGCAAAATAGAGTGACCACAAGGAATAAAGCAGCAGTTCTGAACAGAGAGTGAACTTAATAAGGACAAATTGTTGGACATGGTTGGTCTTCTGTCAGTGTTGGAAAATCAGTGATTTAGGATCCCTGTACCTTGTATCATTGTCTAATTAACTCACCCTATTTGTAACAATTAAGCTGCCCTATGATATTATTAACATTCTGCCCCCTTGCTGATCAAGAATGACTGACTGGTTAATCTCTTCAGGAGCATAGGCTGTAGCTTTTTATAATTTAAATACAACCATTTCATTTTGGGGCTGAACATCTCCAGAGGTACCCAAATCCCAGTTTCGAACTACTTCTGTATCAAAGTGGTAAAAAGTAATTATGTGTATTGTATTTGTAAGTGTTTAGATATACCTCCGAACATAACTGAAGTTCTATTTTGGTCAAAGCATGAAAATCAGCCTTTTTGTTGTCTTCTTTCTCCATTTTCTAACCACAGAAAATTCTTTATCTAATTCAGCATCAAGGGAAGTTGGAGCCTGTCCAGGTAACCAATAAGCACAAAGCAGGATACACCCAGGATGGGATGCCAATCTATCTCAGGGCACACATTCACACAAGGGTCAAATTTCCCTTATATCTTTGGACTGAGAAGAAAAAAGCAAAGCATTTGGGGGAAACCCATGTAAACACAAGGAGAACATACAAACTCCAACCAGATAGCACCCCAGGAATTGAAGCCAGGGCTCCGCTGTTGTGAGGCAGCAATGCTAACCACTGCACCACTGGGCCCCCCATTCCTCTTTCTCCAGTGTGTACAAGTTCTCTTACAACATGGAACTTTCTTATCTGCCTGTTGCCATTTGGTGAAATGGCTGCTTCGCACACTACCTGAAATTTCCAAAGCCGCGGCTCTGCTGGAGAGTCTGTGCGAACATCTCATACTTCCGGATATCATTGTCGCTGACGGAGCGGCGGGCAAACTTCATCGCCTCCTCAAAGTGATCACGCCGGATCTCAGGAACAGGGTCAGAGTCCTCATCCTGTACAGAAACAAAGGCCCATGATAGCATATGATAAATAAACTAACTTGTTTAGTGTACGGAAATCTTGGTTAAATTAAATTTTTTACTTCCCATAAAGATTAGGGTTTCAATTCTGACTGCCCTTGAGCTGCAGTATACAGATTCCATTTTGTCTTTTTCATTTTGCTTTGGTATATAAAATTCTTTGTAATTTAGGAACAGTAAGGAAAAGGACATGAAATCTCATAAAAGCTCATAATTCTTTGGCTGTGCAGTTTGATGAGACTGTGCTATCGTAGCATGCAGTCACACATATAGAAAATGAATCTATTAAAAACAGTACAGTAAATTAAGGGGGATCCTGCATTAGCTGATGCTTTGTCCCACTCTTGATTTGTCCTAGACCTTTTTAGAGTTTAAGGGAGTCTTGTATGTTCCCGTCCAAAGGCTGTGAGTCTCTAGGACAGAAAGCCACCCTTCAAGCGAACCCTTCCTCTACCACAAGCTCTTATCTCTGCACAGCAACAGAACTGGAGACATGACATAAGCAGTGGACACAACAGCAGATTTGTTATTTGTCTCAGGTGGGTTTTCAAGCTGTAATGTTGATGTGTTGATTATATTGAAGTTTTAAATATTCAGACATTAGTCAGAAGTGTTCTTTATACCTTAAGAAATTAAGTAAAATTTGCAGCTGCTTGTAAAGAAAAAAACTGTCTTAGTATCAATTTACTTTCTATACTGCTGTGTTTTTCTTTCAGTTCATATGCATTATCTTTTTAGCCTTAGTCTTAAGAGCTGTTGCTATCGTGCAACTAGGCAGCTGCCCTTCTTCATACTACATGTTAATTGATTGTCCACAGGTTCTGTTGTGGATGTTGATCACTTTATTCTAAGCAGTGTTTGAGAAATACAGTGTTTTAAATGTTTAAACTTAGTTAATTAACAACCTTCAGCTCAATTCACATTTAATTTAAAATCCTAGTAAGGCACAGGACTTTTCAGTGGTTTCTCACTGAATAGAGCTTTTTATTACATAAACCAAATGATTACTATCTTCAAGAATTTAAATTATTTGGGCACATATGAAACCTCAAACATTCTTGATTTTTAGCAAACTTTTTCCAAAATAACAGTGTTAATAGTGATAGTTTAAAAAATTAAAATACAACTTGAAATTATTACTCCATTACAAACTGCAAAAACAAATGGTTTCATCTGCTTTTATGCTGTTTTCAATGTACCATCCCTAGAAAATGACACTGTGGGCTTAAACTCACCATAGCCACATCTGGGTGGTTCTGCCTTTCACGCTCAGTGCGTATCTCTGCCTCTATGGCTTCTCTAATTGCCAGTTTGCAGGCACGCTGGCAGATCTCTGTGAGGTCAGCTCCAGAGAAGCCCTCTGTGATCTTGGCCAAGTAGTTCAGATCAACATCCTGTGAGCAAATGCAGTACCTATATCTGAGATCCATGTTTACATTTGTTTCATGTTTCCCACCTAACCGTAAACCAATCCTGCAACTTCCAGCTTTTGTTATGTAACATCTTGTAGTGGAACATGAGCTTGATTGTACTGTCACTCCTAGGGCTCTCAAGGGAACTCCCCACAGCAAGGGGCCAGCCTTCTGGCATAGTTGCTTTAGTGCTTGTCTGGGCTTTCTGACATTTGCCTGAGATGGTGATTTAATTCAAGATATAATGGTGCTGTGACTCAGATTCCTGAGATTTACACATATAGGTTGCTGAGGAGCAGATGTCTTCATGGGTCGACCTAGTCCCAAATGGGGTTGATCAAAATCGTTTCTCAATGGATGGGTACATAGATACATGATACATGAATACCATTTTTGTGTGGGAATTATTTGCTAGTAACATGGAGAAAAATAGTAAAAATGGTGCACCAAGATATTTTGATTAAAAAAGCCAGTTGTGACTTTCCTGTGCTACAATAAGAAATCCAAGTTTTATATATACCTACAGTATATGATAAAAGTGAAATTGCTGAAAATCAATGTCTGTGATTTTTGATACTATCAAATCTTGGAAATTCAATCTTTTCAAGACCCTGTTCAGTCATCTGTTAAAATGAATTGCAGAATATTTAATTCCTTCTACATTGACCATGTTTCATTTAATTAATAAAAATGTGGTACAATAAAGGCAATCACTGTTGATAGGATGGTCAATTTCAGCCTATGGTGCTTCACAAATGATGTGGATGGATGATTGCTCAACAGTTAGCTACATCACATTTTATTTATTGATGAAGAGTAAATTCTTGACTTATGAATTTGAGTATAGAAATACACTATGAACACAGTAATTCTATTTCATCTTAAGTACTTGGCTGAGAGCATTATATTCACATCAATTGTACTTTGAATCCTGAATATTTAAAATGTTTAATAAACTGCACATTCTGGATTCTCTAATGTTTTGTACACATGCCTTTCTATATCTATCGAAATCTGCAACAAACCGAAAATCTGAAATGGAAAACTTCTATCAGATTTTGGATCATCAAATAAACAAGCTTGTATTTCTAAGTGAGCAGCCAATGTTTCAACAGCTGTTGCTATGTGGGCACATTGAGCTGTCTTGCACATATACTTAATACAACCATTTGCCTTGAGCAAAGCATTGATTACCTATTTAAAATATTTGTGATACCAAGTAAAAATGAAGTGTGTCTAATGCCTTCAGACAATTCGCATTGATCTACAAGTTAGGAATGGGGACAGACAGATGCCCTGGATAAGGGATGAAATCAATGTAAACTGATTATCTCTTTCTGGTGTTTGTTTTGAATCAGGAATGTTTTCTTAGTAAACAGCAATTAATATGAAAAATACAGAAGCTCTAGTTAGCATTTGATTTCCAGGGAATTTTTTTCAGGGAATTCAGTGATCCTGTAAATAGTACCTGAATCTGTGTTGCAGTATCAACTGTGCTAAAGCTGTGGGTAAGCACCGGCACTGCTGCTTCTAGTTATGCATGTAAATGTTAAATTATCTTTGCTGTCCACAAACCTTGAGCTGCTTCCTGTGAGGTGATTACATTCATAGTACACATTTACTATGCCCCTAATTATACATATCATTAGAATAATGAATACAGGAGAATCTACTCAATTTGGTGTGGGTTCCCCTTACCACACTATGGAAATGGAAATCTGGCATGCTTTATTACACGAGGCCATTCAGAACACAATATTTGTCTGAAAACATTTTCATGAAACACAGTAAACAATTCAGATTCAATTTAGTCCAAAACTGCAAAGCATAGTGAATGGAAAGTCAAATGAGTGGAAATATCAAAATGATCTTTACCCGGGCCACAGGAGACTTGCGCAGGTTGGCTCTGAGGATGGCTACTCGGGACCCCTCATCAGGCAGGGGAATATAAATTAGCTGGTCCAGCCTTCCAGGCCTCAGGATAGCTGGGTCAATGATGTCTGGCCTACAAGGTTACACACAATCAATAGCATCACTGGAATGACCCTTACAGAACCATTTTAAAACGATACTTGGAGCACAATACAATTTTTGTATCATGGCATTTGAATGTGTTAACCTAAAATAAAAGATAGTGTGTGCTAACCTGTTGAAAAGCAATATAAACATAAGGTACCAAATTTTTATCAAATTCATGCACTTCTCTCAGAATTATAGTTTCTGTTTTAAATATTACTTAATTTGGCCATTGGTGTGAGTGTGTATGTGTGCCTTGCCATGGATTGGTGTCCCGTCCAGGGTGTATCCTGCCTTGCACGCATTGCTTGCTGAGAAAGGCCCTGTCTTCCTTGCAACGCTGAATTGGCTGAAGCAGTTGTAAAATGGATGAATGGATCATCATATCTTCTTTATTTGCGTTACATTTTTCTTATTTAATTAAAAAAATATTTATTAATTATTTCATTTTAATGTGAACTATAATTTTTACATAAAGCACATCAAGATTATTGCCTTTAGAGACTGTATAAAATAAAGGTTTTATTTTTAGTATGGTTTAAATGACACAACATTAGTGTCTGATTATCTTATCTTTATCCAATAAAGAAAAATGTGCTTCCAAGCTTTCCTGACCTGTTCGTGGCCCCAATGATGAAAACGTTTTTCTTGTTGGTCATTCCATCCATCTCGGTCAAGATCTGGTTGATAACACGGTCTGCTGCGCCTCCCCCATCCCCCACACCACCTCCTCGGGCCTTGGCGATGGAGTCCAGCTCATCGAAGAACAAGATACAAGGAGCTGCCTGCCGTGCCTTGAGGGGAAGGGAAAGAGGGAAGAGGCTGTTAAAGGCACCAATAAGGGCAGTGCATTTGTTAGTTCTCATTAGCTTGAGAGCATGTATGTAATTGTGGATCCTTTATCAGAAAGTATTTCACGTGCAAAAACATTTAAGGTAATCTGTCTTTTGATTGATACTCTCATAGGATTCTACGTTCTACGATAGGATTCTACGATAGAAACTAAGTTCAACTTCTTTCTTCTGATCTGCTTATTCAGCTTCATGCTCCTTTTGCCTCTTTTATATTTTTTTCTTTTATTTCTGTCTTTCCTTTTTTCTCTGCAGAACAGAGTCCACCTGAAAATCATCCCCTAGGCAGTACCAAGCCAGACAATTTAGAATTAATACAAAGCAATTCTTCCCCAGAAACAAGGAAGTCTTAATACTCAGGATTTATAATTATGAGATAACTTCTTAGAGGATACCTGTTATTTTTCATCCTGGTTCAAAGAGGTTAGTCATATTCACTTTGCTACTGAAAAATGACTTTTAGTACTAAGGAAGGTTCTATGCCATCTTGAAAAAATGTCTGGAAATCGTTGCATGGTATTTTTTTCAATTTTACAGAAAATAAGCATTTAAAGGATAACTGATGCCCCAATTTCTCAAACAGATTATTACATCTCGGTAACAAAATAAATAACGGTGTAGATTTTTTTTTAGAATTAAGCACAAAATCGTGAACTTTGTGAAAGAATTGTAAGTTGCCATGGTGTTACAAACCCCTGGTCTTGCCATGGTCGAGAGCGAGAGTTCCCACGAATTGTGACGTGATGCAGCCCCTTCCTGCTTGATAGTCAATGTAATGACAAATGTAATGTAATGCGATGTACATGTGAATAAGTACAAGTTGTGCAGCAGACATTTCACCGCAGAAATGTTCCAGCATGATTGGCATGCAGAGTTAACATGTAAGTAGTATTTTGTTGGCAAAACCGTCTCAAAGTCAAGAGCAATATTTCTATTTGATTAAAAGAGATGCATTTATATTAAAATGTAATAAGGCTGCATTACAGTACATCACCGGAAGTTTTGTTGCCTTGTTCTGAATCATAGAACATAGAACTGGGAATTTTGTGATGGAGATATTACAGGTTACTGTGTACATTTTACTTTTATTGTGGTTTAAAATAATTCATGCTGACTCTTTCTAACCCAAACATTTAAAAATAGCATTGCAGCTTCCTTTTAAATAAGGAATCTTGTTTCGCTCCATTCTCAGCATGTGCCTGGGACAACAGACAATCATTGGTGAAACCACCAGTGCTGGGCAGAACCTGCAGAACAACACCATGGCCAGGCAGCTTATGATGTGTCCTCATGATGTGGAAACTGTCAGTCATCCAATGGGTTTGTGGGAGGTGTAGCTCCTATGGCTCATGCAATATCTTTGAGCTATAATAGGCCTGTCCCACATACCCAGGGGGCAGGCCACCCTGCAAGGTGCTCCCCAGTTTCTGCTCCCCACGATTGATGTTAACACCAGCACCCTGGTAGGCAGCATATACTAGTAGCAATTGTGTGCTTTGGGGAAGTATTAAGACAGGGTTACATTTTTCCTTGGTACCAAGAAAGAAAATTGGAATTAAATTTGAAGGGGTTCTGGAAAACCTAACCAGGAATAAACCTAACCTAAGCAACAGACAACGAGAGGAGCTTGAAAAGGAAATTTAGACATCCTGGGATAGGTACCAGAGGTGGAGTGGCAGTTGAGGTTGTTGTGTGAGACCAAATTCAGGGGGATCTTTAGGCATGAACAGCAGTGGTTCAATGTAAAACAAATCTTATGTCTGACCCTTAAACAAAAAACATACAGTTCTATACACAAAGTGATTGCCATAACATTAATATGATCTATGTGTCTTCTATAAGTAATATAATATAAAGGATACTTCAGCTGAAAGCATACATCTGTGTTATAAATATCATGTGAGGTTAAATTATTCTTCATTAATCTGATGAGCAATACTCATGATTTTTCTAATTTTCTTTGGCTGGAACAAGAATCACTCACAAGACTGATTTCCTTTGTATTTCAGTGTTGTAGAAAGAGCTAGCACTTAATGCACTGATGGAACATTTCACACTAGAGTATGAACAAAGTGTCTCCGAAATACAATATATCCCAATAACTCCTACTACCTTAATTTGCTGAGGTTGGTACAATATTTTTTATAAAACCTACCTTGTCAAACACATCGCGGACATTGGCCTCAGACTCCCCAAACCACATAGTGAGCAGCTCAGGGCCCTTAATGGACACAAAATTGGCCTGGCACTCATTGGCAATGGCCTTTGCTAGAAGGGTCTTGCCACAGCCTGGGGGCCCATAGAACAGAACTCCACGAGATGGAGTCATCCCAAACTTCAGGAACTTGTCCGGGTACTCCACAGGGTACTGCAAACAAGAAACAACTTTGAAAATAGTCAAAGTAACAGACTGTCATGCATGCTGAAGACCTGTGAACTTCCCAATTCCCAAAATGAGCCTCTGAACAGTTGGAGCTGGGAGAAATGTTGGAGTCTCTTAGCTCATACCAGATCTTGCAAATTAGATATTAGTTGCAAAATCTGCCTTAAAACTGTTTTATTTCAGTTGCATTTACTGTATCTATTTGATTGTTTGGTTTGATTTGTTGATTGTTTTTTTTCTAAAGAGCATTTACAATAGAGATGATGGATCATAAAAAGTGTGATATCCTGTCCATATAATATTGTATATCCTAGAGAAGATGTGTAAGTGGGGCCAGCAGGGGGCACTCACCCTGCAGTCCTGGGTCCTAATGCCCCAGTATAGTGACGGGGACACTATACTGTAAACTGGCGCCGTCCTTCGGATGAGACGTAAAACTGAGGTCCTGACACTCTGTGGTCATTAAAAATCCCAGGGCATTTCTCGAAAAGAGTAGGGGTGTAACCCCGGCTGGTTGAAATCAGTATCTTACTCAGTCAGTAAAGTCAAACATGATTCATATCCATTTGCTAATAAATAAGAACGAAGTAGAAAAGGCACACTAGTTATCCTTACTTACCTGATTTCAAAATAAGGACAAACACAAAACATATGCTGGAGTAATTTTCCATGACCTTTTTTAAGCTTTTATCACAATCCACCTGTAGGGTGGACAGATATCTTAAAACAAATGACAAAACACAAATTGTTACAAATGGGGTGTACGAAACTGGTGAAAATTGGTATTTCACTGCATGGCTCAATCAGTGAAATAATTATTCATAACCCCCAACTTTTTCTAACCATATACTGGAGCAGTTGGTATAATTGATGGCATGTGAATTCTTTATTCTCTGGCACAGTTTTGGTGAGAGAAGTAATAATCTAGGCACACTTGGTCAAAACAAAAATGTATTACAATAAACTACACAGGACACAAAACATACAACACACAAAGTTACATTATATACAGTATTTACAGACAAGGTGTTTCAGAGGCCTAACATTCTGGTCACCCAGAAAACCCCAGACTGCTACTAAGCACTAAACCCTTACATGCTTACAGGGGCCACACAAGAGATGAGCTGCCTTCTAACTAAATAAAAAGCAACCTGCAGTTAAATCTCTCTCTCTGCACCCTGGATGCCACAAAATAAATGGGAATCTATATCCCTATCCATTATATGTACCCTAATCAGGAAAGACGTTTCTAACTGAGTTATCTTTTATCCAGGAAACCCAAGTTTCCTAAAAATACAGAAAAGTACACTCTAATAAGGTTCAAATACTTAGCTCCAGTCAGGTTTGGTTTGTATAATCAAGTAGAGGCTCTTGCCTGGCACAAGCTTCAAGTCCTAACTCCTCTGGACTCCTCTCTCTTCTCCCTCCTTCTTGTTTGTTCCTTCTTCCTCTTCTTTGCTCTTAATGTCATCTTATGTAGTCTGTTTCTGTCCTGCTCCTTGCCAATCATTCATCCACAACTTCCCTGGGTATACTAAGGTAAAATTTACAAATGTTTCTGCTCAAAGGACCCCCAGACCTCAGCAAACATCCTTTCTCCTTTGAAGCTTGAAATATTTACTCTTCCCAGTGTCACAAACGTTATCTAAAATCTAAGAGACACTTCTAGTTCACCTAAAGCTGTAACAATACCACCCTCTTAAAAATTCATTGTCCTCAATAATTGGTATAATTAATTACATTTAATGATATCAAAGGTAGAGATGTCATTAAAAAGGTAAAGGAAAGGTAACATATTTCTGCTTTTATCTTAATTATAATTCAGTAGGTTTCTAATTTTAAATCCCCCAATTGTAAGAGAAAACTAGTGTCCTTTACTGACAGAGCTCATAGTATTTTTCCAACTTGGTTTCCCTTAATTATAGGCTTATCAAGAGGATGACCAATTAGCAACATTAGGACCATCACTCTGTGTCTGATATGTCATTTAGTGGCCTTTGAAAAACAAAAATGCAAAACTTTGTACAAAGGTTCCCCAAGTGGACCTAAAAAAACTGAACAATGGACGTCACCCTTATTTACGCGATTCACACAGATTTCAGCCTCTGCTTCTGAGAGCTGATTAATCCCACAAGTGTCGCTTACCAATTTCTGGTGCCTTGCAAACCCTGTTCAGTGAGAGACTAAAACCATTTGCTATAGACTCCAGCTCTTTTGACTCAATAAACATAAACAGAGGTGTCCATTACTCATTATAAAAAAACACTTCCCTAATCAAAATAAGCTCTTTAGTATGAATCACTGAAATTTACTTAAAACTTTAAGAAAACCCTTAAGCTGCAACAAAGGTGCAGATACTGTTGTTAACATTACAAAAAATATAGAAGTGAGAAAAATGTTACTTTTCATTCCTATTCAAAAATGTCACTTCACACAAAGTGTCTTTGTGTGAAGTGACTCTAAGATAATGACAGAGATTTGGTCCCAGGTAAAACGTCAAAGGAGAACAATCAAAGTTATCTTTTACCTAGACCCGTGGTTTTCAAACATTTTGGACCAAGTACCACCCCTGATCAAACCAAATCCTCCAAGTACCACCTACAAGTCATCTTCTCATAGGAACTCCAGAAAATCTCAATGACCAACATGAGCGCGCATGCACGCACACACTCACACACACTTATAATAAACATTATAATAATAAACTTTATATAATATAGCGCCTATAAAGGTGGCTTCTCAAAGTGCTTTACAGAATGACAACAGGAACAACAACAATTAAAAATAAACAATAAAAAGTACAATTTCAGTGAGAGGGGTGAGCCTGTTTAGTTGAGCAAAGCAGATGTAAATTCATTGGTCAAGCTTTGATACAATTCACAACAGAGTCTAACAGATTTAAAATCTTCAGGCATTTTCTTGACGGCCAAAGCCTCTTCATATCTGGAGGAACCTCTCTAATTCGTGCAACTACACCGCTGTGTCGGCTTGTCATCGCTAGCCGTCTGGAGCGATGCAGCTCCGACGGATTTTATCCAGTGGATGCTATTCTCTTCGATAAATTCATTCAAAAGCTGAAATATGTGCTCTCCTGTTGTTCCTGTTGGTAGCGGCTTACAGAACAGAAAGTCATCATGGGACATGGTACCCTCAAACTCATATCTAACGTAAATGGGCAAATTGGCCAAATCAGCGACATCTAGACTCATCTAATTGCAGTGAAAACCATTTGCTAATCATTTTGCTAATCTTAACGCACTCTGTCAGCGTACTGCTTTTTGACATCATCTGCCATATCAATAATTCTATGAGTGATTGTGTCTTTCGAAGGGGGAGGCAGGTCGATCAGAGAAAAACACAGAGACACTTCTCAAATTAACCTAGAACAGTTCTTTAATATTTTCCTGTTATCTATCATGCTTTCCTGTGCTCACAAGATTGCCAGTGCTCCAAAACCATGCACATTCTCCTGACTCCCTATTTGCTGAAGATAACTTCCCGCACGTTCTCCTACCTTCCTATTAACTGGAGATAACTTTTTTTAAATACAATTGGTCACTTACGTTCGTAGCACGCATTCCTATAAAATGGTATAGAATTACATAGTAGATCATGTTTCCACTAAAGTATTAGCGCGCTGCGTATTTGACGCATAAACTAATTTTATTAAAACAGAAAATATGGAAACCCGTCCCAATTTTTCAGTGCACACAACAAATTTCCAGGGTCATATGGCGTACTGCAGTGAGGGGGGTGGTTCAGAGATGAAGTCCGGGATCCCTGATATCTGGTAGAGCTTGTCTGAGGACGGAGAGCGACCCTGCATGCTGTCTCTATCTCTGATGCAGACAGATGTAGGAGGTGTGACACCCAAGTGGTTGGTGCTGCAGACAGAAGTGCGTTCTTGGAGAGACATATCATTGCTGCTCTAGGGCAAGGAAAAACTATCCCTGCTGTAGCACACAGACTCTAAGATGGTCTCAGCACAGTTGCACCCTTCTTGTGCATTATCTTGCAACTCACCCAGTCCTCATCTGTAGCCAGGGTGTCAAATGGGCTCTGGTTTGGGAATGACACAGGCTACTTGCAGTCTTCCTTTGTGTCCAATTCATTGGTCACTCCTGTCAGCATAGGGACCCCAGAGCTCACAGAGCTACTGACACTGACACAGTCAGCACTGCTGGCTTTAGGCAGACTGCCTCTGCTTCTTCTGTCCTCTGTCAGATGGGGCTCTTCAGTCTCAAGCATGTTGTGGAAGCCAGGCGGAGGTGCAGAAAGCTGAGATTCAGTTTCTGGCGTGGTTCTTTCGGTTGTAGAGGGCTGCTGCTGTGGAGCTGGTTGCTGTCTGGCAGTCTCTGTCTTGAGTGGTGATTCGCTGTCTGCAGTCTTTTGTGCAGTAGAACATTCTACTGTGGACTGTTCTAGCCCTGACACTTAATCATCCAGAGAAAACAAAGACTGGGATTTTTCAGTGTGACACCAATTGTTAGAAATGGACACATGTGGTTAAAACAATATTTATACATACAACACACAAATTACTCTATGTACAGTATTTACAAACAGGCCAAAAAATCCCAAGAACCCGAATTCGCAACAATATACAGTATCAATATATTGTTTTTTTATCAGTTTTGGAACAGGCAAAATAATAATTTGTGAGACATTAGCCATATAAGTATTATGAATACTTCAGCTCCATAATAAGAGGAAGGATAATTGATTACCTGCACCAACTCCTGAAGCTCTCTTTTTACTTCATCCAATCCTCCGATATCCTCCCAGTTCACCTGGGGCACCTCCACCACTGTCTCCCGCAGAGCAGAAGGGTTACTTTGGCCAAGTGCCCACTGCCAGACAGAAAGCCAGAAGAACAAAATAAAATTACTAAACAGGAACTGCGCCTTTAGAGTCTTAACATAGCTATATTTTTTACATGCAACTCTTTTTAACCCTTTTATTACTGTCTGCCTGCATCTAATTTTTAAGAAGACATCATGTTCTTTTCTTGAACTGAAATACTCATCCATGTTGTTGAAGCTTGTACCATGACTTCTATGAAGAAACAACTGCATGAGATCATTAGATTAATAAGTACCTAGCTACCAAATGGAGTAGATACTGTAGGTCAAATGGTCTTCTTCCTTTTTTTGTGTTCTTAACTTGGAGTAGTTATACTTTAAGTTTATTTTTTACACAATGTTCCATCAGTATTTTTAAACTTTTTTTAGTGCTCAAATTTTCTGTGCTTTCATTTTATTGTTCTCCTCTGCACATTTGTCCTGGAAGCATCACTGGTTTCTGCAATCTGTATCAGTGGCTAGAGCCAAACCAAACATTCTAAAGCAGGTTTTCCCCGACCAAAGCTTTGACCCTCTGACATAAACATACCCTGAAGTCATCCATCGTGACAGCTAGTGAGTTAAGGACATCAGCATCGATTGTCTCATCTTCCAGGTCAATCAGAATCATTTTCTTACGAATGGCCTGCAGAGCAGCCTCAGAGCAGAGTGCAGCTACGTCGGCGCCCACATGCCCATGAGTCTCAGTGGCAATCTGTCATTACAAGGGTGAAAATGTAATAACACTATTCATACCTGGGAGAGAGCATTGTCCACGAAAGTGTGGAGAGCCCACATGTAGGTGAAGCAAGCAGGCAAAAAAGCAGGTAGACAGTTAGGGTGAGTGAGCAGGGGTAATTCCAGAAATGTAGTCCAAGCCCAAGCAAAGTTCATAACCAAGGAAACATGGGAACAAAGAACCAGGGGAACCCCAAGCAAGGTCAAAGTTTGCAAAGCCAAATTTGTAGAAAGGAAAACATAGAAACAAAACAAAAAGGAAATCCATGAACAAGGTCAAAGCAAAGCATGTTCAAAATACAAAAGCTCAAACAAGGTAGGCGTATTAATTAACTAGCTATGACTATCGGTCTAACTGAGGCTCTAACAAGTGCTGTGGAGATTCTAATGTGTTCTCCAGAGTCCAAGAGGAGCAAACATGACAGAAAATATGCAAAACTTAAATTATGTAATAAAGCTAGTTTAATAATTGGCTGCTTGCTGATCGCCCTAAAGGGTATGACCTTTTCTGTTATTCCTTTACAGCGTTTTGCATACAACACCCTGAGTCTTCCCCTGTGGCCTATCTGCTCACCCTCTCCAAATCTACATCGTCAGACAGCTTCATATTCTTGGTGTGAATCTGCAGGATTTCTAGACGCCCGGTGGCATCCGGGATCCCGATGTCGATTTCCCTGTCAAATCGTCCTGAAGAAGGAACAAAAACAATAGTAGCCTAAACTTTCACAAGATTAGAGAATGAAAAGATGTGTAAGTACCATTTGTAATCCAGCAGTATTTGAAAGCTTTTAAAGGGTCTGAATACTTTTGCAAGACACTGTAACAGCCTCAGGATCATGTGTGGAAAGAATGTGATTCTGAAGATTCTGTGGTTCCTCTTGCTTTCTATCATGGTGATCTGTAAACAGGGTTGTTTGCTGATAATCACAACGAAAAAACAATTTTTAAATTTCAATGGAGCCTCTGTAATTTTAAAATGACTCATATCAAGCCAAGAAGACATAAAGGGTAGTGTAAAGCCAAGTTTTTAAGTCTCTAAGTATTTCTTTTTTATTTTTTTTCTCACACCTACCAAATCTGCGCAGTGCTGGGTCCACACTGTTGGGCCTGTTTGTGGCTGCCATGACAACAACATGTGAACGCTGCTTGAGTCCATCCATTAGAGTGAGAAGCTGAGAAACGATTCGCCTTTCCACCTCCCCATGGGTCTGAAAAATTCAAACCCCAGATATGAACAGTCCACAGCACTCAGAACTGTAAAATTCCTCAATGGCCACACATGAGGTTACATTCAGAAACATACTACTTAATTTTTCACCTGTTTTGGAACCAAGTAATGTACAAGGTATCCTGAGGTATTGGTATTCTGAGGATGACCAAGGGTAACCTAATATCTATGGCACTTGGACAGCTGTACATTATTTTGTTGCCACTTGTTTATTTTCTTAATTTTCATCATCACCAATTTCTGCTTTATGATTGAACGTTTGTGTATAAAGGCCAGTACTCCAGTCCAATCCAGCCCTACCTTCTCCCTCTTTGGTGCAATTGCATCCAGCTCATCGATGAAAATGATAGCTGGGGCATTCTTCTCTGCTTCCTCAAATGCCTTTCTGAGGTTGCTTTCTGACTCTCCTGCCAGCTTGCTCATGATTTCTGGGCCTGTGTGAATATGTCAGAATAAACACACTTAGGAATATAAAAAAATTATATTTTTATAGAAACAGGTATTACTAAAATATTATATTTCTTTTAACATTGTGGTTTTGTCATCACATGTAGGATTTAGAGAACAAATTAATCAGATCTCACCAAACTACATTTCTGATAAAATGGTCATCAAGCCTGTATTCTGCGAACTATGCAATATGAGAAGCATTCTGGAAAACTGTCAATAGCCAAACTACATTTATAAAACCTGCCACAAAATCCAGGTCATCCTTGAAAAAGTGAAACGGTATTACAAGATGAAAGAACAACAAACCTGAACTAGACACCGCAGATACGATAGATGCTCAGGGTGATGTAAGCATTATAGATACTATTAATACAATACAGGAGTCAGCAACCTATGGCAATTATTATTATTATTATCATTATTTTTATTTTATTTTTTCATGGCCCCTGCAATGAAAGTGGCATGTGTAAATAAAACTCTAATAAGCCATGAAGACCATCAGGTTAAAAATGATAAAAAAATATTTGACACATTTTTCTGTGATTCTCTACAATATGCTACCCAATGAAAGCTCATTGGCATAGAAAAAAAAAACAATTCATTTGGTTTATTTAATGCGTTATTTTTAGCAGGACTACCCATTTCTTTCACATGGAAAACTCACAATCCGTGCCGCTAATAACATTTTACACATTTAAGTGGAAAGTCAAGCATTTTGGATAAAATGGCAGTTTCTAATAAAGCAAAGTTAGATGGTCACTCATTATAGCCTTTTTGGAGAGATAAATATGAATTTGTTCAACATAAAGACCAAGCTGCTGGTGTTCTATATTGTACATCGAAACTGTACAATGAAAAATTGTTTGCAAAACTAATGTTTCTAGCCGACATCACCACGCAAATGAAAAAACTCAATCTCTGTCTGCGTAGTGCAGATCAAACTGTGACAGTCATGGAAGGCATTTCTTGCAAAACTTGGTATTGGCATTAGAATTTTGTGTCAGATTTTAGTTTTTTCTTTTCAGTGTTTCAGTGAATGGGCATTGATGATTTTGAAATGCGGCTAATAGAATGGCAGTGCTCAGACTGGTAGACCTCAAAGTTCCAGGATCTGCAAAAAATAATTCAGGCTACTGAAAGCGATCACATTTAGTTTTTGAAGAAAGTGGTATTTCACTACTCTCAGCATTTGGATCAAAGCACCTCTGTGAACAGACATTTTCAAATATAAATATGTTTTTTTCCCTATCATAGCCAAGCAAAAAATAAATACTCAGAGGCTTGTAAACTGTGTAAAGTGTCAAGCTATGTTCCTGAAATTGGACAACTCAGCACAGGAAAGCAAGGGCAAGGATAACACTAGATGGTAAGATATGCATATCAATGTATTAATTTTAGATATTATTACTGTACATTTTAATATTGCATATTGATAAACAAAATGTAAGTAGGGCTATTATTGAGTTTTTAAAATATATCTGTGGCATGCATATTTTTAACAATAAGTGCATGAGGTAACTTGTAAAATGCCCCTCCTGAAAGCCTGCCGACCTCTGGTATACAGTAGTAGATAGCAGATAAATAATTGTGGGGATCTCTATTCATTAGGACTACTGCTCTTCGTAATTGATATCAATGATCAAGATTGTGGTACAGCTAGAAAATAATTCACAGACAATACAAAAAGGAGGATTCGAAAATACTGTGGAATCTGTAAAGGAAATTCAAAGATATAGATCCAGATATAAAAAGATATTGCAGCTCTTTAAATCAGAAGAGCAACCAAATACATTCTTGGGCTCAGAAGATTGTCTTACAATGATAGGCTAGATGATTTGAACCTTTTTAGTCTTCAACAGAGCTTGAACAGAGAAGGAACAAGTAATAGGTTTATTCCATGCTGAAATAAAGAAGAAAGAGAACACAACGTTTCGGCCGTGGAGCCTTCTTCAGGTGTGAGAGAGACAGGGCAGTAGGCAAAGGTAAAGTAGCGGGAGAACAAAGGTTGGGAGGGAGGAGGAGTGAGAGGCGGGAGCAGGGGACAGAAAGA